TCACCAAACTCTTCCGAAGATCGGCGCAAGCGCTTCGTCATATACTGGCTCGACGTGTTCCCTATCTGTGACAGTACATCATATGCTATCGTGTAGCGATCATGTCAAATTCCAAATGCGCGCTAGAGAACAACAGATCAAAGAAACATAACGATTACAGTTTACAAATTAATCGATGGTTTCTCAAACCAATCGGTGCGTGGCCACAGATAGATGCGTCGACCCTAGTGTGGAAAATCTTGATATTATTACAAATTTTTATTTGTTCAAGTATAGTAGCATCTAGCATGATACCGTGTTTATTATATGTGTTATTTGAGAAAGACAACATAAAACTAAAACTGAGTGCAATTGCGCCATTACTTCATAGAATTATGGGTTCGGTACATTATTGGGTGCTACTTAAACGTAGTCGTGATATTAGCAATTTAATACAACACATGGAAGTAGATTGGTGTCTTATACATGGGCACGATGATCGTGAAATAATGCTGCAACAAGCTAAGTTCGGTCGTTTTGTTGCCATAATCTGTGGAATAATCATGCATGGAGGTACAATTCTGTTCGCCTTAGCAAAGGCAATGAAAACTGCAACCATCGTCGTCGGTAATGAAACTTTTACGACGCATCCGATGACATGCCCGATATACCACAAGATTATCGATACAAGATTTAGTCCTATAAATGAAATCGCGTTAATTCTGCAAAATCTAGCAATGTTAGTAGTGAGTACCTCTACTGTCGGTGCTTGCAGTCTAGCTGCTGTCTTCGCGATACATGCTTGTGGTCAGTTGAACGTGTTATACGCGTGGCTACATGAACTAGTTAAAACCCAGATGGAAGGAAATGATAAAGCTAAACAAAAACTGGCTGCTATCGTAGAACATCATCTGAGAATACTGAGGTATTTCACAAGCAAGCATTCATTATAAAAATTCATACCCTCAAATATACGTATTATAATAAATTTCTTAACAATCATACAAATTAATAATACATTAATTATTTATAAATAGATATTGCATTAAAATATTAGGGTAAAATTATTTTCTTTTTCTTATAGATTACTAAAAGAGAATCTTGAGTTATCAATTGTGTTTATAAAGTATAAGTTCAGTGTGTCGACTTATTTATTAAAAAACTTTTATTTATAAAAAAAACTTACTATGTTACATACATTTATACGTTTCAGTTTTATATCACAAGTAGAAAGTATTATGCATAAAGCCGCTTTTGTGGAATTAGCCGGGTGCACGATAGTCATGTGTCTGCTTGGATATTATAGTATTATGGTACGCTAGAAATGTAAGAAAATCTTATTAAACAAAATATGATTTATTCACATGAAAGTAAACATCGCAAAATATGTATAAAATGATAAATCATATGATAAAAGATGAGTTCATATTTTAATATTTGCACAGTGAAAGATGTTTTGTATGTGTAATAGTCATTTTTTAAAGCTATTGCGTTGATCGTTTGACATACGTTAATTTAATATATATAATCTAAATATTTTGGATTATTTGATATTCAACGCTTCTAAGTGTTAAAGAGACTAAATTTATCAGTAGAAAAATATAAAACATGAAACTATTGTATTTTAGAGAATAAATTCTAAGATAAATTTATATAATAAATAAGTACGTGTGTGTGTGTGTGTGTGTGTGTGTGTGTGTGTGTGTGTGTGTGTGTGTGTGTGTGTGTGTGTGTGTAAATTATATATTAATTTTACTCACAAAATATATTTTCATAACTTTTTCCAGTTATATCAAAATGTTTTATTTGTTTTAATTTCTTATATAATATTTGCAGCATAACTTCTTAACATATTTTATCTTATATTACAATTACATAAAAATCAGATTTAAACACGTAAAATGATAAAAAATTAATTAATGAAAATCAGTTTTAATGGAATTTCGGTTAAAAAAACACTGATCATCCTTTTTAACTATGTAGGCATGGGAAACACTTGATACGGCAAAAATAACATCTTATTTTATTGTATATTTATCGATGGGTTTCAATATTTTTATATTTTGCTACATTGGAGGAATTATCACAGAACAGGTAAAACATCGAGAATATTTAATATTTTAATTGAATTAATTTCATTTTTGAACAAAAAATCATGTTTTTACAACATTTCCTTAACAATTTAATCAATATTTTAAGAAAAGTATAAAACACTTCCATATTAATAAAAAATTTCTGCTAAATTATAATTTTTGAAATAAAAATTCTTATTTTTAACAAAATTTTAATATTTCTATTTTTTTTTAAACATTACGTTAATCCAAATTATTATTTTTTATACAAAATTTTGTATCAAATTAGTGCAAACTTGTCGGAGAAATGGCATATATGACTAATTGGTACAATCTACATCACACAACTGCACGTAGTCTCGTTCTGATTATTGCTCGATCAAATAACGTAATTAAGATAACCGCAGGAAAGTTATTCCAATTATCTGTTGCAACTTTTGGTGATGTAAGTAATATATTGTTCTTAAATTAGTTATCAAGAAATTAATAAGAATATCTTCTTTGTACTTTATTAATAACAAAATATGATCATTTTATAAGCTCATATTGTTTAATTAAATTATTCATTATATACATATAAAACATTTACACACATACACGTGTGTGTAAATGTCTTTTATTTAAATTAAATTATAATATTAATGTTATGTAATGTAATGTTAATTGTTATGTATAATAATTGTAATGTTAATTGTAATGTTAAAATGTAAATTTTAATATTCATAATTAAATTAGTAAAACTTTGTAGAATATGATATATAAATTATTTTTTTCTTTCAACAGAAATAAGTACATTATTGTTCCAGGTAATTAAAACTTCCATGGTATATTTAAATTTTTTGCGGACAATGACGTAAAAGGTGAATATATGAAATATAAGTTAAAATATGTACAAATATTATATATATTTTATACAGAACAAATTACTGTATTCTGAAAATAAGATCAATCCTTTGTTGCACAAATTTGAAATCAGAAACAAATGACCTCAAAAATATTATTACAAAGCTGAGACAAATAAAAAAGGAGACGCTCAGGTATTAAGCACGTTTGATACACATTAAGTAAAAAAAGTAACTTGCAAGGTAATTTATTAATCAAGTGAATTATATTTAATGATTCAATGTTTTCAAGACAATTTTTTTGTATTGTTGAAAGAATTCAACATCAAATCTGTAAATCAGATGTGACTCTTACAATAAATACAAAAGAACATTAAAATTTTGTATTGGCTGAAGAAGACTTCAAAGTGAATCGAAACGTATTGATATTGTTATTTGGATGAAATAAAATTGTAATTTAAGGAAATTCACTTCTTATTACTTGCATTACAATAACAACGCTGCACTCTCATCGGCCCACCACTAATAGGATTTCTGGTTTCATTATTACAAAGATTTTCAGAAAACATTATGACCATCCAATATAAAAATTTTTTGTTAAATTCCAATTTTTCTTAAATTTATACAATAATACCAATGTATTATTAATGTAAAATAATTATTTATTTATATTACTCATTTATATACAAGTTTTAGGAATATAATGATATCTAATATGTTACACAAACAAGTATATAATGTGTAAAACAAAAAATATATAAAATGTTAAATATCTCATAAACCCCCGTATGAGATACTATATAATAAAGATAATAAAATCAATAATTATATAAAAGAATCGACTCATTCCTATACTTTCACAAAGATATAAACTATATAATATTTTATATTCTCTTTTATTATACTTGTTATAATAAATCAAACTAGATTTCTAAACCATCCTATTCAAACTACAAAATCTGTAATATTTAACCTTTACAATTCAATGATCAATAAAAGTTCGAAAATTTTTACGTACATATAATTTAGGACATCGTAGTATTAATCATATATAAGTGCAAACTGACTAAAACTTTTGCACAGCTTCAATAAATCCATGGATGTAGTCGATGGTTAATGAATAATATTAATAATTTTATGATGGATAAAATCACAATTCATTATATATACATATTATTAAATCAAGATTTTGTAAATAAAATTAATTATATCAGAATGATATACATATATATGTGTAAATATATATATTAGAAGACGCGGTAGTGTCTCCGGCCATATTCAAAAACTAAAAGACACTACAAGTCTCTTATCCCGTATATATATGTATATACTGGGTTCTTAATATTAAAATAAAACGAATATACAGGACTTTTAGTATTAAAAAATTGTCAATGAAATAAAAAGGCAATTAAGAGTCAATATTATATGTGTGATCTAATAAACTATTTAATAATATATTATAAATTAAAATAAACTAAAATTCACACTATAAATACGCACGCAATCAAATTAAAATATGACATATTAAAATTTATAGTGTGAATTTTAGTTTATTTTAATTTATAATATATTATTAAATGGTTTATTAGATCACACATATAATATTGACTCTTAATTGCCTTTTTATTTCATTGACAAAATTCTTGATATTACACAAAAATTTATGCACAACATATCTTTATGACTTCCACATATGGCGTGTATATATATATATATATAACAATTTTTTACATTTTAAGATATACTATATTCTAATTTTCATCATCCTTTCTCTTCAGTTAATGTATCACATATTAATCAATATAAGAAGAATATAATTAAAACACAATACTAAAACAAGAAAATTTCCTAAGATAAATCACTTTCAATCTCTTACAAATATATACTTTACACTTCTTATACCACCCGATAGTTTCTCAAATATCTCACAATAAGAAACTCCAGACAAACAATTATATCGACTGAATATAGAATATACGCTCCTCTCAGAGCAACTATATGATGTTAGACCAAATTCTGTTGAAGATTGGCGCAGGCGCTCTATCATATTCCAATACGATGAGTTGTCCATCTGTGGCAGTACACTGTGTGCTTTCATGCAGCGATCATGTCAAACTCCAAATGCGCGTCAGAAAATAAGAGACCGAAAAAACATATCGATTACAGTTTACAATTTAATCAATGGATTCTAAAACCAATCGGAGCGTGGCCACAAATAAATGCATCAAGTTCAGTGCGCAAAATTATAATATTACTACAAATTTTCATTTGTTTAAGCATAATAGCAATCCCGACAATACCGTGTTTATTATATGTGTTATTTGAAGCAGAGAATATTCAGCAAAAACTGCATCCCATGATGCCACTGATCAATAGATTTATGAGCTCGATGCATTATTGGGTGTTGCTCAATCGTAGAGATGATATTCAAAAATTAATACGACACATGGAGACAGATTGGAATCTCATACAAAGGATTGACGAACGTGAAGTGATGCTGCAGCATGCCAAGTTTGGCCGTTTTATTACCATAATCTGTGGAATAATGCTGCAGGGCGGTTGCCTATTGTTCAGCTTCGTGCAATCTATAAGAACTGTAACAATCACTATCGGCAATGAAACTGTCACAACACATACAATATCATGTCCAATTTACAGCAAAATTATCGATACTAGATTTACCCCTATGAATGAAATCGCGTTGGTCCTGCAAAACCTGATAGTAATAGTAGTAAGTTTCTGTACTGCCGGTGGTTGCAGTTTGGCTGCTGTCTTCGCAATCCATGCTTGTGGTCAGTTGAACGTGCTGTATGTGTGGCTACATGAATTAGTTCAAAACCAAGCGAAGGAAAATGATGAAACTGAACGAAAACTGGCTGCTATCGTAGAACATCATCTGAGAATATTGAGGTATTTCACAAGCAAGCATCCATTAAAAAATGCATATTCTTTCGTGCCTTATAATAAATTTTTGAACAATTATATACATTAATAGTGAATAATATAAAAATAGATATATGCACTAAAATTGGGATAAATTTGTTTTCTTCCTTGTGCGTTATTAAAAAGAAGTTCGATGTGAAAGTTCGATGGTGTTCATAAAAGCTTCAATAAACCAATGATTTATTTATAAAAAAATGTTCATATATCATATACATTTAAACGTTTCAGTTTTATATCACAAGTGGAAAGTATCACGCATAAAGCCGCTCTTGTTCAGATAATGGGGTGCACGGTAATCATGTCCTTGCTTGGATATTACACTGTTACGGTATGTTAGAGATATGAGAAAATGCAAATCTTATAATACACAAATAAATATTATTTATTTATGAAAAGTTAAACATCGTTATTCTATTACAAAATGTATATTGTAAGTGACAAATTATACCACAAAGATGAGATTATATTTTAAATCTTATAAATTTACAATTTTAATAACATATTTTGTTTTTTTATTAAAATAACATATGCTTGTACGAATCAATATTGTTTTAAATAAAAATTTTATTTTTGCGCACGGAATGTCAGAGATCCGGATTCGACTTCCGGCCGAGGTAATTTTTCACAATATAAATTAATTATTTATAGATTTTTAATGTCATTCATAGATTTTAATATGTTATTCAATATTATTAAGATCTAATATTCTACAAGCATCAAAATTGTTAGATTGTTAGTCAATTTAACTCGTGATAGTACTGCGGTAGTTTGTTAGAGTTTGCGTTATAAGTTTGAAAAAAATTTTGGCACGCATTTAAGAATCTACATACATAGTATATACATTTACACGCATTATATAGAAGCACCCGAAATCTAACTTGATCTTAATGGCATGTTCTCATCGGTATTTATTTTAGTTCAAAAATTTTATTGTTCTATTTCAGAAACATCTATTTTTTGATAGAAGTAACATTATTTTATTTGAAGTAATATCTTTCAATACAATATATTATTTCGTTTATAATAAATACGAGTAATAAAACAAATTATTTATTTGAAAATGGCAAAATATATTGCGATAGAGGTTGTTCCATGCAAATATATATTTCCTTAGAACAACTATTTTTTAACTGAAATTACGGAAACAATGATTTAACAAGTTTACATGAACAGTGCTATGTGCTATATAAATTGTGTCGTACAGTTAGTCGTGCAAATCCCGAAGATAGATATGTTCAAACAAATAATGTATTTAAGACAAAGTATATATCGTTTCATTTAAACAATTGTACTTATTGATTTAAACACTAATTTATTTGGACCAATATAATAAATTTATTTGGATTCAATAACATTTATTAAATTTAAAGAAATCTTTTTTTCTATGTATTCATGTATTAATTTAACATATAATGTCACGAGTAAACTTCCGAAAACGTCGATGAATTTTGGCAGAAATATTCTAAACGATGTAAAATGAATGAATTTTTACCGACAAAGAAGATTTTAATGCCAAAAATGTCTGAATAAAGTTATATACTTATATTTGATATTAAACTTCTTTAGAACAAGTTATTACGGGTAGAAATTCGTGTGCCCCTAGACAGAGGGAAGGTGGGGTAAAAATCGTTTCGCGTAGAAAGTCATACATCCCTAGACAGGTTTAAACATTTTATATTACGTTAATAGACAACAATTATTAGTATCAAAAAAGAAATAATTCATAAATAGGTTTTAGCGTACCATAAAAATAACGTAATTAAAAAACATAAATTTTAAGATAAATGAATAAAAAAATGTGTTAATTTAAATCACAAATTTTGCTCAAGAAATATGCTTCTACAATTTGCATTTAAACTGTATTGAAATGTTTTATTTTTTTTCTTGTGTTTATTTTTTACGCAGCATTAAACTACTTTTTAATATATTCAATGTGTAACATTTCATGTATAACATTGACATAAAAATTTAAGTAAATCAACAGCCATATAAAACATTTAATTCGATAAATTCTTCAACTGCTTAGGGTTGGGAAACACTTGATACAGGAAAAATAACATCTTCCCTTACTGTGTATTTATCGATGAGTTTCAATATTTTTATATTTTGCTACATCGGGGAGATTGTCACAGAACAGGTAAGCAATGTTAAAAATTAAAATATACTAAAACTAAGGAAAATATATTGGGTTTAGATATTTTTTATTAATTCAGTCAATATTTAAAGGAAGTATGAAATATAAAACGCGTGCTATTATACATTACTCGGAAAAAAATGCTTTTTAACAATCTTAACTATTTGTTTTTTTCAACGTCATGTAATATAAATTTTTTAATTCTTTTGGTTACTCATAGAAAATTTAAATCTCATATCAACTTATTAGTGCAAATATGTGGGAGAAACGACATATATGACTGATTGGTACAATCTAAATCACAAAACTGCACGTGATCTTGTTTTGATTATTGCTCGATCAAATAACGTAATAAAAATTACCGCAGGAAAGTTAATCCATTTATCTGTCCCAACTTTTGGTGATGTAAGTAATGCAAATTCTTCACCGAGATTCGCCATTTTCATTAATAATAAGTTATAATAAATTAAATTTCTCTCATACATTCTTAATTGCAAATTAAGATCATTTTACAACAGTTCAATTGAATTATCTATTATCTTTAAAACATTCATTCGATTCAATCAATTATATACGTGTGATTAAAAATTTTAAAATTTAATACTAGGACAGTTGATTGCGTACCACTCAAGTTATTTCTTATTATTTAATCAGTATCGATTTTATGTAAATAAATATTGAAAATTATGAAAAATAAAATTACATTTTTTAAGTAAAATCAACATAATTTATTATATTATCACACTAATTTTATTTTAAAACTACATTATTTTTATATTATTTTTATTTACTGACATTTGTTCTCTAAATATAAAGAAGTGTTAAATATTAATTTAACATAGAATAAAATTGAATGATAAGAATTATTATCAATTACATAAATTGATCAAAAATCAACATCACTTTTACTTGATTTCTTATGAAATATGCTATTGATACTGATAAAACAAAATATAATCTGTTATTTTTCTGTCTATATTATTATTCATTTCTCATATTTTTGTTACCAAATGTTGTATATATTAAGTAATAATATAAAATATTGTTAAAGTACGATTGAGACCACGCATTCGGCAACTCTCCCCTAATATTTTTATAATAATTGCGTCGTTAAACGAAAAATTTGAAAATTATGTTCTTCTTTTATTGTACTAATAATGATCTTATAAGAATCATCTTATAAGAATTGGACTTTTTAATTGATTTCAATATGTTTATCCATTATGTTTAGAACACCTATAAATTCAATCATATCACGTGTATAAATTTTCAAAATTTAATATATCTAATGACATATACAGCTTATAAAACGTGTTTTTGCATTGTGTAGAAACAAGAACATTATTGTTCCAGGTAATTAAAACTTCTATGGTATATTTAAATATCATAAGAACAATGGCTGTGTAAAACATGGTACAAACTGTTAAAGTATATGTTAAGAAATATACAAGATATGTAGCATTATGTAGAATAAATTAACATATCTCGAGAGAGAAAACAAGATTTATTAAATAAAATCGGTGATTATGTCAAAATCGCAAATGATTGAAATCATTAAATTGTTTTTAAAGATGTACTAAGTAATTTTTATATTTTTCATAGAATTGCCATTATAATTTTTTTATTTAAAAATACTAAATTTTATATATGTTCATCGAAATTATACATAAATTTATTCTTTTTAACAGAGTATAAAAAACACATCTATATATAATCAAATAAAAAACATACCAGACACTAAAGCGAATTCATTTCTATAAATTTATGTTCGTATAGTTCTCGTGACATATAATATTATTTCAAATGTACGTACCAAACATTTGATGATGAGACACGCAATTCAAAGCAGTTGCATTATTACTCGTCAAACTCCAACTTTTGAAGGTTGGCAAAGGCGTTATTTTACAACTCTGGCATAATTAACTAACCCATTCGTGACAGTGCTTTGCGTGACTACGTGAAATAATCATGTTTAACCATAAGTGTATGACAGGAAGCGTTGAAATGAAAAAAACAGATTACAGTTTGCAATTGACCACAATGTCTTTACTTAAATTATTATAACTGAATATATTAGTATTAGTCATCCATGCAAAAGATAAAAATATGTTGATAAAATTAAACATTTGATATATTTCACTATACAAATATGTTTCGGAATTATAAGACACGTGAAAAGTATTATGCGTAACGTTTGACTTTCTAAATAAAAGTTTAATTAAATATTACTGTATTTAAAATTGTCTAAAAAATCATAAATACTATACATTAGCATATATTTTATTCTTATAATTACAAGTAATAGAGTGATCAGGAGACGCGGTAGTGTCTCCGGCCATGTTCAAAAACTGAGAGACATTACAAGTCTCTTATCCCGAGCCACCAAAGTTTACATTATTATATATATTAGAAAAACAATTTATATATCCATTCACAACATTTTCTATATTTCAAGATATTCTAATTTTTGATACCACTTAATTTGTCCTGCGAATTAATACACAAATATAATTAAAACATTTTACTTTTAAAACAATTTGCTAAAATAAAGAACTCTTAATTTCTTTTTCACGGTTCTATCCTTACACTGTTCATAACACGCGATGTTTCAGAAACCGAATAACAGAAACTCTCCATAAACAATTACATCGACTGAATATGCTCTCTCAGAGCACATTTATGATCGTTCACCAAACTGTAATGAAAATTGGCGCAGGCGCTTCTTCATATTCCCTTATGATGTATTGTCTATCCATATCAGTATGCTGTGTGCTTTCGTGCAGCAATCATGTCAAATTCCAAATGTGCATTAGAAGACAACAGATCAAAAAAATATAACGATTACAGTTTACAATTCAGTCGATGGTTTCTCAAACCAATTGGTGCGTGGCCACAAATAAATACACCAAGTTCAGTGTGTAAAATTGTGATATTACTACACATTTTTATTTGTTCATGCATGATAGCATCCAATATGGTACCATGTTTATTATATGTATTATTTGAAAAAGAAAACATCAAGCTAAAATTGAGTGCTGTTGGACCATTGCTTCATAGAGTTATGGGCTCGGTACATTACTGGGTGTTGGTTAAGCGTAGCCGTGACATTCACAAATTGATACGACACATGGAAACAGATTGGTATCTGATAGAACAGAGGCTCGATAATCGTGAAATAATGCTGCAACAAGCCAAGTTTGGTCGCTTTCTCGCCATGATTTGTGGTATAATCATGTTTGGTGGTACAACGGTGTTCAGCATAGTAAAGGCAATGAAAACCGTAACAACCATCGTCGACAATGAAACTTTTACAATACATCCGTTGACATGTCCAATTTACAGCAAAATTATTGACATGAGAGTTAGCCCTGTGAATGAAATTGCGTTGATTCTGCAAAACCTGGCAGTATTTGTAGTAAGTACCTCTACTGTCGGTGCTTGCAGTTTAGTTGCAGTTTTCGCGATACATGCTTGTGGTCAGTTGAAAGTGCTGAATGTGTGGTTATATGAACTAGTTGAAAATCAAAAGAAGGGAAATGATACAGCTGAGCGAAGATTGGCTGCTATTGTAGAACATCATCTAAGAATATTGAGGTATTTTATACGCACTCACTCGTCTAAAAAATACACCAAATAGTTTAATAATAGTTTAGTCCTAATTTTGAATATTTATTTTTAAATAATTATTAACTTTAATAATTTAATAATTCAATAATAAATATTCAAAATTAACATAAGTTAATTTCTTCCTTTTTATAGATTAATTTTTATAGATTACTAATCTATAAAAGAGAATCTATTGTCTTCATGAAAAGCATCTATAAGTTGAATGTACCGCGACTTATTTATAAAAAAAATTGTACAGTGTTATATACATTTATACGTTTCAGTTTTATATCACAAGTAGAAAGTATTATGCATAAAGCCGCTTTTGTGGAATTAGTCGGATGCACGATAGTCATGTGTCTGCTTGGATATTATACTATTATGGTATGCTAGAGATGTAAGAAAATGAAAATTAGATTTTGGTTATAAAAAATCGAACATAGATATTTTATTATAAAATGTGTATAAAAAATTATATGTAAAAGTCTCTATATTTTAACGTTTTGTAGTAAAAAACATTTTGTATTTATATTAAAATCAGTCATAGTTTTAAAGCTTTTGTCTTGATTTTTCAATATACTCAAGTATCAATTCAAATATTTTATGTTAAATTGATATTCAACATTTTTATAATAGTATTAAAAAAATAATTTATGTAAGTTAAGAAATAAAAATGAAACAAAAAATAAAAATTATGCAGTTTTAAAACGTAAATTCTATGATAAATGAATGCGTGTGTCAATTTAACAAATTATAAATATCAGTTATTCTGAAGAAATATACATCTACAATACGTCTACAATATACAATATTATATATCTACAATATGTTTTTAAATTTATCAAAGTGTTATAATTTATCTTTCTTTTTTATATAACATTTACACTACATTCTAATATACTCTATGCTATATCTATACAAAAATTTGAGTGGAACATTAAACACGAGAAATATGTTAAATTAAGTACAAATTTTCCAATTAGGCTTGGGAAACACTTGATATGGCAAAAATAACATCTTCCCTTATTGTATATTTATCGATGGGTTTCAATATATTTATATTTTGCTACATCGGAGGAATTATCACTGAACAGGTAATATATGTCAAGGTTTGAAAATACCCAATCAAGAAAAATATTATATATATGTAGACAAACATTTATTTAATAATTCAATACTTCGAAAAAAGAATATAATACTTTTATATTAATAAAAAAAATAATTTAAAGTGCTTTATTTTTAACAAACTTAAATATTTATTTTTTTTGCATCAGTACGTATGTTAACCTAAATTACCAAATTCTCTTTCATATTACTCAGAGAAAATTTAAACCTTATGTCAATTCAATATAGTGCAAAAATGTCGCAGAAATGGTATACATGACTGACTGGTATAATTTACATCATAAAACTGCACGTAGTCTCATTCTGATTATTGCTCGATCGAATAACGTAATTAAGATCACAGCTGGAAAGATATTCCATTTATCCATCGCCACCTTTGGTGATGTAAGTAATGCAAATATACCGCGTTCATTCCTTTAATTAATAAAAAAAATTATATATCTTCTTTGTATTTTATTAATTTCAAATTATGATCATCTTACAATAATTGTACTTTTAATTAAAATTTCTACATATCCAATTATATATGAATGTGTTTGATTTAAGATATTAAATTTTTAAAAATATACGAATGAGCCTAATTTACAAAATTTGATATATGTATATATATATATTTCTTTTCTTACATTGCTTTCTACACGGAATAAAATATTTGATTAAGTTAACTAGAATTCTAGAGTAAAAAATAAACGATCCAGAATTCTGGTTAAAATAGATTAGATTTTTCATCAAAGCTACTAAATTCTAAAAAATTCGATAGATTTAATCACAATTCTAGATCGTCTATTTTCCAAAATTTCAATTAATTCAACCAAATATTCTTCTCGATGTACGCAGAAACAAGTATATTGTTGTTTCAGGTAATTAAAACTTCGATGGTATACTTAAATTTCTTGCGAACAATGACTTCGTAAAAAACAATTATGTGAAATATAAGTAAAAAAATATACGAAATATATATTTTGTATAAAACAAATAGTATGTCCTGAAAATAAGATTTAACCATTTGTTACTTTGAAATTAGAAATCATTGATCTGAAAACATTATTATAGAAATTTTCAGGCATTACACTCATCATCGTATTACTTCAAGTAAGAATTTTTTGTTAAAATTCTAATTTTACCTCTGCTTACATATTTATAATATACTGTTAAAATAAAATAATTAGATATATATATATATATATATGTTGTTCTTATTCTTAGGTGGAAACATTACGATATCAAATATGTAATATTAAATACGTAATTGTAAAATATAAAAAAATTCCAAAGAAATATAAGTCCTTTATTATATATTATAGTATATGAAATAATATACTCGCAATGATAAGTTAAATAATATCAGTTACGTTAATATCAACATTATAAGTCAGTAACACATTTTCAAAGATATATAGTATACTACTAACATTTTATAATCTTTATCATAAAACGTTATAAATAACTCAAACAAGATTTCTGAACCATCTCGTATAAAATATTTACTTACAGAATATGTATATCAAATCTCCACAATTCAGCGATCAAGAAAGTTCAAAGATTCTTTACGCACAATTTAGAATCTCGTAATATCAACCGTACATCAGAGTTAATCGAATAAAATTGTTGAGCCCAAAAGATTCATAACCGTAGTAAAAGCATTAATAACGTTAATAATTAATAAATAATGTTAATAATTTTATGATAACTTACATTTTTAGTTTAATATACTTTTAACGAACATTTAACAAATAAAATTAATTATAGCATTAAAATAATACAGTATTACTGGCCATAAAAATATTCAAAAATTAATGCAATACGTTTCTTTCATAATATTTTCTATAATATATTATACATTTAAAATATTTTCTTTACTTCAAAGTACAACTTTTGATTGCCATTTAATTAATAAGCCTCGAAAATTAATATAGGAAAATTGAATTGTGAGATACCAAATTAGAAAAATATACCAAGTTCAAATACCTTTTTATTGTTACTTCTACGAATATATACCTTACACTTCTCATCATATGCGATATTCTCTCAGACATTTGACAAATAAAAAGTTTAGACGAACAATAATATTGATTGAATATACGTTCGTGTCAAAGTAACTTAGTAACTAACGTTAAACCGATCATCAAACTCATGTGAAGATTGGCGCAGGCGCTTTTTCATATTCTAGCACAATGACTTGTCTATCTATGGCAGTACACCGTGTGCTTTCGTGCAGTGATCATGTCAAATTTCAAACGTGTATCAGAAAACGACACATCAAAAAAAAATACCGATTACAGTTTACAAATTAATAGATGGTATCTTAAGACAATTGGTGCGTGGCCACAAATAAATACGCGGAGTTCAGTGTACAAAATCATGATACTACTCCAAATTTTCATTTGTTCAAGCATAATAGCAATTCCAACTATACCGTGTTTGTTATATGTGTTTTTTGAAGCAGATAACATCAAGCAAAAGCTGAATGCCATTGGACCGCTGCTTCATAGAGCTATGGGCTCGATACATTACTGGGTGCTGCTTAAGCGTAGCAGTGACATTCACAAATTAATACGACATATGGAGGCAGATTGGAGCCTCATACAAAAAACTGACGAACGTGAAGTGATGTTGCAACACGCCAAGTTCGGCCGTTTCGTCGTCATAATATGTGCAGTGTTTATGCAGGGCGGTTTGTTTCTGTTTAGCATAGGAAAATCGATGAAAACTACTACCATTATGGTTGGCAACGAGACTTTCAAGACGCATCCAACGAATTGTCCAATTTACAGCAAGATCATCGATACGAGATTTAGTCCTGTGAATGAAATCATATTAGTTCTACAGAATCTTACAATGTTTGTAGCGAGTTTCTCTACCGTTAGTGTTTGTAGTTTGGCCGCTGTCTTTGCGATACATGCTTGTGGTCAGCTAAACGTGTTGTACGCGTGGTTACACGAACTTGCTGAAAATCAAAAAAGAAATGATACAAATCGAAAATTGGCTGCAATCGTAGAACATCATCTTAGAACACTGAGGTATTTTATATGCGAATACTGGTTAAGAAGCGCGTATACAGCTTATACTAAAATTTTTTCAAAATTTTTACATTAACTAAATCGTTAATTAATCAATTAAAATAAATATTTTTATTAGAATTGAGATAAATTTATTTCCGTTTTCATAAATCACTTAAAGAGGATTTTGTCTTCATCTTGTTCATGAAAAGCATCAATTCAATATACGGATAACATATTCATAAAAAATAAGAATTATATTACATTCATACATTTCAGTTTTATATCACGTGTGGAAAGTATTATGCACAAAGCTTCTCTTGCAGAATTAATGGGATGTACAATAATGTTGTGCTTACTTGGATATTATACTATTATGGTAGGCTAACAATAAAAAAAATTTGAAAATGTTACGCACCTGAATGCCATTTATTTATGAAATGTAGAAAACATTGCTATTTTATGATAAGATATGTACTGAAAACCATATATAAAATACGACTATATAGAAATAAGGCTATATTTTAATTTTTAGGCTTGGGAAATGTTCGATACCGCAAAAATAACATCCTACGTCTTTTTGTATTTATCAACGGGTTTCAATATTTTTATATTTTGCTACATTGGGGAGATTATCACAGAACAGGTCAAGAATAGAAAGATAATGAAATCCAGATATGTTAGAGTTTAACATCTTTTAATAATACAGTCAATGACCGCGTATAATACAATGTAATACAGACGTTGAAAACTTTTTCGATAACTATTCCCCTAAAACTAAAAATGTAATCCTATCATTACGAAGAAAACTACCAAATTGCGGAATAAACAAAGCGATCATTGGTTCTTGCCTTTAATATTTTAATGGATTTATATTTAGAACGTACTAGAATAACGATTCGTATTATAACAAAGAACTGAGCACTCATTAAGCTACTTTATCTGCTGGACGTAATTAATAAAAAAAACATGCAATATAATATCCTTACATTAATGGAGAGAAAAATTTCTAAAATGTAATTAAAGGAAAGAAAAGCAAAATAACAAAGTAGATAAGATGACGAAATGCGCATATATTTAATTAGACTGCAAACTAATAACGTATAACGTACCAATACTGAATTCATTAAAAGCTTTGAATAACAATTTATTTCTTGTTATTTGACAATACTTCCACGAAGAAAAATAGTATAATAAAGAATAAAATTAGGATGTATTCATATGTAATTATTTTTGCTTTAGTTTATCAAGAATAAAATGATTATAATATTTTCACTTTCTTTACAAAATCACAGTATAGCATACTATAGATAAGAATGTGTAGAATAATATATTATTTTTTATTATTCGTCTTGCAACATTTTTATTATTAAATACAATAACTGCAAAAAAGATGACTTTCACTAAGGGTCAATTTCACCAACGTCGGTTAAGCTAACCGACGTTTAAACTGTCAACCGTGATTGGTTCATTCTGGTCAAAGACAAATGCGATTGGATAATTCCATTGGAATTAACCGTTGGTTAGCTTAACCGACGTTGGTGAAATTGGCCCTAAGAAAGATTATAAAATTGACACATTCTTAAAAAATAAATTTTTTTAAATTCTAATTTATTTGATAGTTTATTTTACAGATAATAATCAACGTTTTAGTAAAAACCTAAAAAAATTCTTTTTAAATCAACGAAGAAATAAAAAGAAATTAATAAACTTTAAAAAAAAAGATCTCATTATCTTACCACCCTTTATCCAACTTGATTTTTAATGAAACAATAACATTTAATAAAATTGTCAAATTCTTTTCATATAGAAAATTAAAATATTTTATCAATTTATTAGTGCAAACGTGTTGGGGAAATGGCATATATGACTGACTGGTATGATCTACATCACAAAACTGCAAGTGGTCTGATTCTAATTATTGCCCGCTCGAATAATGTAATTAAGATCACAGCGGGAAAATTATTCCACTTATCCATCGCAACTTTTGGTGATGTAAGTAATATACATATATTGTTGATTCCTCTGGTCAATAAGAAATATCTTTTTTTTGGTTAATCAATTATATATTTCTTGTACTTTTCATTTTGAATTATAATCATCTTATAAAAAGTGTACTGTTTAAATAATCTATACGCTTTATGTTCAAAACATTACACATTCTATTACGTGTATTTAAATTTAATTATAATAAATCTATATATCTGTAACTTTTAAAATGTTATATATATTTGCTTTCTACAAGAACAAGTTTATCTTTATTTCAGGTAATTAAAACTTCCATGGTATATTTAAATTTTTTGCGAACAATGACTATGTAAAATATAGTTACGTAAAATGTAAGTTACAAAGTATGCATTTTATATATTTTATAAAAAAGAAATTATTATAACCTGAAAAAAGATTCAATACTTTATATATATATATATTGCACAAATTTAAAATTAGAAATCAATCACCTTAAAGATATTAATACGTTTTCAGGAAACGTTTGCAATCATTTTCCTTTCACTACAAAATTTTTATTACTAAAAAATTCCAATTTTGTGTGAGCTTGTTTATTACAAATTGTTCTTTGATAAAATAATTACATATTTGTATAATTTATGTACTTACAACTCTTAGGAATATAACGATAATAAATGTTACACGAGTAATTATGGAATGCTTAAAATACAGAAATTCTACAAAGAGATAGCATCCTATATTCTGTATGAAACACAATACAGGGGAAAGGTTAATAGATAAATCTATTAACCTTTGATTCGTCCAAATCGAAATAATGTGTCATAAATATACGTATAATTTAAAAAAATGTATATATATAATATCTTATAATTCTTCTTAAGTTTATAGTAATTTCTTTCATTAAAAAAGTACCAACTTTCTATATGAATCAGAAAATCAGCTGAATGACACAAATAATAGAAAATATGAGGTTTTATTTTCATATTTCACATCGAAATTATACATTATATCTTTCTAACATCAAACAAGTAAGATTGAATATAACAAAAGAAAAACATAACAAGTAATTAAAACACATTCATTTCTCCGAATTTTTTCTCTTTATGACACACGATATTCCTGGAACTATAAATTTGCGACAAAAAATTATTGATCGGACATACGACCCTTTCAAGGCAGTTGTAATATCAGGCTATTCATATCAAACTTTTTCGAGAGTTTGTTCAAGCGGCACTTCACATTCAACTCTGACAAAACAATCTGTATATTTGTGAGAGTATGCTTGCGTGCTTTCATGTCGTGACCATGCTAAACACAAATTAGTAGTGTGTGAGAAAAGTAGGAAACGTTGAACTGAATAAGTATTGCAATCGGATTCAATGTTTTTCATAAATGATTACAATAAAATATATTGTCAACATTGTCATATAGATAGCAACACAGTGGTGAAATTAAAAACTTATTAATATATTTTAAAACATTTCGTCATATACTTATGCTTCAATATCATATAAAATACTTTTATCCTTTATAATAACATTTATTTTTAACGACAATCTAATTCTTATTGCCAATAATAAACAATAAAATTTAAAAAATTAATTCGGTTAACTAAGATTTGGTTTACTAATACAAAAAACACGTAATTAAAATATATAAAAAAAAATCTGTTAAAACATTTTCAATGTCACATACACAAATTAATCCTTACACTCTTCGTAACACACGATATTCTCTCAGACTTCGGATAATGGAAAAGCTCTGGACGAACAATTATATCGATTGAATATATACGTTACCCTCTAAAAGTAATTTTGTAACGATAGACCGATCACCAAACTCTTTTAAAGATTGGCGCAGGCGCTTCTTCATATTCTGGGACAATGAGTTGTCAATCCGTGGCAGTACACCGTGTGCTTTCGTGCAGTGATCATGGTAAATTTTAAACGTGTGTCAGAAAGCGACATACCAAAAAAATATATCGATTACAGTTTACAAATTAATCAATGGTTTCTTAAACCAATCGGTGCATGGCCAAAAATAAATACATCGAGTTCAATGTACAAAATCATGATATTACTACAAATTTTTATTTGTTTAAGTTTGTTAGCAGTCACAATGATACCGTGTTTGTTATATGTGTTATTTGAACCAGTCAATATCAAGCAAAAACTGAGTGCCGTCGCACCACTATTTTATAGAATTATGGGTGCGATACATTACTGGATGCTGCTCAAGCGTAGAAATGACATTCACAAATTAATACAACACATGGAGACAGATTGGAATCTTGTGCAAAAGATCGACGAACGTGAAGTGATGCTGCAACATGCCAAGTTCGGTCGTTTCATAGTAATAATCTGTGCGGTAATTATGCATTGCGGTTTATTTCTGTTTAGCATAGGGAGATCGATGAGAACTACAACCATTATCATTGGCAACGAGACTTTCAAGACGCATGCAACGAATTGTCCGATTTACAGCAAGATCATCGATACGAGATTTAGCCCTGTGAATGAAATCGCATTAGTTCTGCAAAATCTAACAACGTTAGTTGCGAGTTTCTCTACTGTTGGTGGTTGCAGTTTGGCTGCTGTCTTTGCGAAACATGCTTCTGGTCAACTGAACGTTTTGTACCTGTGGCTACAAGAACTTGTTGAAAGTAAAAAAAAAATTAATACAAATCGAAAATTGGCCGCTATTGTAGAACATCATCTAAGAGTATTAAGGTAATTCACATACGAACATTGCTGAAAATATACATGTCCTATGTATCTGAGAATTTTCAAATTTTTTGAATAATTTAATTATTAATTTAATTATTTGAAATAAATATTTTTGTCAAAATAAAAGTAAATTTTTTTTTTCTGAATCACTAAAAGAAAATCTTAACGTTGTATGCATAAGAAAGCATTAGTTCAATATACCGATAACTTATTTATATAAAATAAGAGTTCCATTACATTTATATGTTTCAGTTTTATATCACGTGTGGAAAGTATTATGCATAAAGCTTCTCTTGCAGAATTAATGGGATGCACGATAATCTTGTGTTTAATGGGATATTACTCTATTATGGTAGGCTAACAATCATAAAAATTTGAAAATCTAATAAAATATATATCTATTAAATGTCATTCATTTTTGAAACGTAAAATATATTGCTATTCTTTCATAAAATATGTACTGATAACTATATAAATTGCGACAAAAATGAGATTATTTTAATTTTTAGGCTTGGGAAACGTTCGATACCGCCAAAATAGCATCTTACGTCATTGTATATTTATCGATGGCTTTCAATATTTTTATATTTTGCTACATCGGAGAGATTATAACAGAACAGGTCGAGAATAGAAAGATATTACAACCAAGAAATATCAGATTTTAATATTTTTTGGTAATTCAGTCAATGATCGCGTACATCATAAAATTTTAATGCAAGTGTTGGAAGTTTTTTTCGCTGAAGTAGGACTATTTCCCTAAAACTAAAAATATGATCCTATCAGCAAAGAAAACTACCAAATTAAAAAATAAACAAATGCAATTGGTTCTTATCTTTATGTGTGTGTGATTTCAATGGACTTATATTTAAAACGTACTAGAATAGGTATTTGTAGTAAATAATTGGTATATAAAGGTTACGAGTCAGATAATATATATTAATAGTTAACTAACATCGAGATAATGAAAACGAGACATATTAAACGGACATTATATTATAAACAAAATACAAATTACAAAGAAATGATAAAGAAATCGAAATAACACATTGACTATTAAATCAAAACAACTAGTGAGGCTTTGTGATGACTTTTCAATAATGAGGAACAAATTTTATCTATGTATTAACGATTTGCAAATTATGACTTCTAACGAAACCATAAATATCATTCAAGATACAACTATTACATCTGCAACAAGTAACGTTCACAAAAGTTGTTCTTCCCTCGAATAGTTTTTCTTACTTTTATGTATCATATATTTTTTGAATTTCATATGTTGTAATATTGAGAATGACTCAAGCGAGGTCGAAACGTCTAATTGTTTATAATTTCTTTGTAATTTGTATTTTGTTTATAATATAATGTTCGTTTAATATGTTTTCGTTTTTATCTCGATGTTAGTTAACTATTAATGCATATTATTTGGCTCGTAACCTTTCTATATCATTTATTTTTAATTTATTGAGCCATATCCTTAAATAATTTTTTTATTTATATTACATTTCTCAACAAAATTAAAGAATCACTTGTTCCACCCTGCAAAAATAGGCAAACTTTGAGATAGAATAACTTCGTCAAAATCGTCATCGTATCGAGATGTTTAAAAAAGCATTTTAAAGCTTGAAATCTCTACTTTTCAGACCTGTACTTCAAAAAACGGTCTTATTGATATTTCGTGAAGTTGCACAATCATAAATAAAAGTGTGTCAAAACTAAAAATTTTTTACAAAATTTGCCAATTTCCACGGAGCCAAGTAAAAATTGTGCACAAATGCGGTTTACAGCTTTCGAAAGAGTGAATCTTTACCTTCAATTTGCTTTTTGCTGAGCTCTGTACGATTTTTTTTCACCGATTATTCAACGTTGAAATAAAAAGGCCATTTTTACTTAAACGTTAAATAACTCGGTGAAAAAAAATCGTACAGAGCTCAGCAAAAAGCAAATTGAAGGTAAAGATTCACTCTTTCGAAAGCTGTAAACCGCATTTGTGCACAATTTTTACTTGGCTCCGTGGAAATTGGCAAATTTTGTAAAAAATTTTTAGTTTTGACACACTTTTATTTATGATTGTGCAACTTCACGAAATATCAATAAGACCGTTTTTTGAAGTACAGGTCTGAAAAGTAGAGATTTCAAGCTTTAAAATGCTTTTTTAAACATCTCGATACGATGACGATTTTGACGAAGTTATTCTATCTCAAAGTTTGCCTATTTTTGCAGGGTGGAACAAGTGATCCTTTAATTTTGTTGTATAGTGTATAATGAAGAATCACACTGAACGCTCACTGTATTGTCTGCTGGACGCCGCCAGTAATAGAAAAACATGGAATATAACACTTTTATATTAATAGAAAGTATACTAAAATGTAAGTAAGGGATAAAGGGGATAAGATGACAAAGTGGAAAAAAAATAAATTGTTAATATTAATTAGGCTACAAGTTAATAACAGATAATAAGCTAATAAATTTACTAAAAGCTTTGAATAATAGCAAACCATCTCTTCTAATTTGATTTCAACTTTTACAAAAGAAGATAATATAATACAAAATACATTTAGGATATACTCATATGTAATTTTTTGCTGTTAATTTAAAGAATAAAATAATTGCAGAATATATTTTCACTTATCAAATTACACTATAATATAAGTACTACAGCTAAGAATGTATAGAACAGCATAACAATATTTTTCATTATTCGCCTTACAAAATTTTTATTAAATATATAATTAAATAAAATGATTGCAAGCAAGATGACTTTTAGTTGAAATCAAGATTATAGAATTGACATATTTAAAAAAATTAATTTTCAAAAAAATCTAATTATTCATTTAACAATTTTTTAAATAGATAATAAGTAAGGTTATAGTAAATCTGAAAAAAATTCCTTTATGTCATCACAGAATTAAAGAAAAATTAATAAACCCTAAAATTATCATCTTACTTCTTCTTTCTCTTACGTAATTTTTAATAAAACTAAATACATCTCTTTGACATCTTGCTAATTTACATCGACAATTTTTTTCATGGAGAATTTAAATCTTCTTTTCTATCAATTTGTTAGTGCAAACGTGTTGGGGAAATGGCATATATGACTAACTGGTATAATCTACATCACAAAACTGCACGTGGTCTCATTCTGATTATCGCCCGATCGAATAATGTAATTAAGATTACAGCGGGAAAATTATTCCACTTATCCATCGCAACCTTTGGTGATGTAAGTAATGCACATACCGTTGTTTCCTTTGACTGAGAAAAAACATCTTTCTTTCGGTTTAATAAATTATACATTCTGTGTACCTTATTTTAAAATTTAAATTTAAATAAAAAATAGAACTCTCGAGAATGTCAATAACAATAAACAAACAGGCTAATGAGAGTCAAAAACTGCGGTAGTTAGTGCGAGTTTAAAATTCTTTATTACAATATAATTATAAATTTAATCAAACGTTTCGGCTACTATTTGAGCCATTTTCAATGATATAAATAATACCCCTTCAAATTCCATGTAGGATGGTCATCAATTAGCTGCACAGGTGTAGCAACACATCATCTCCATTAGACAAAAAATTAGTTGGTTTTTTGGTGATTAATGGACAACAGTGCAGCAAATTAAATAGATATAAGTCACACCAAAATTTTTTTTTTTTTTATCTCATTTGACTATTGTCCGTTGACTTTGTATCATTTTATTCTACACGTATGATGTTATAAATTCTTTTGATGTGACTTATATCTATTTAATTTGCTGCACTGTTGTCCATTAATCACCAAAAAACCAACTAATTTTTTGTCTAATGGAGATGATGTGTTGCTACACCTGTGCAGCTAATTGATGACCATCCTACATGGAATTTGAAGGGGTATTTATATTATTTATATCATTGAAAATGGCTCAAATAGTAGCCGAAACGTTTGATTAAATTTATAATTATATTGTAATAAAGAATTTTAAACTCGCACTAACTACCGCAGTTTTTGACTCTCATTAGCCTGTTTGTTTATTGTTATTAATCTTATTTTAAATTATGATTATCTTACATGAATTGTAAAGTTTTGTTAAACTATCAGTGCCTTTCTATAAGCGACACAAATGACACGGTGTAACATAGTGTATCAGTACGTCTTTGTTGTTCGCCAATGTTAAATAAAAATGAGATCAATGTACTGTGTCGCATGTTGGAAGGCACACTATATATTATGTTTAAAACATTCACACATTGTATTATATATGAGTAGTTAAATTTAATGTCACATTTTAATAAATCTATATATTTGTAACTTTTAAATGTAATATATATTATTTTAGCTTTCTCTGCAGAAATAAGTATATTGTTATTCCAGGTAATCAAAACTTCCATGGTCTATTTAAATTTTTTACGTACAATGACTATGTAAAAAATGGTTACGTGAAATGTAAGTTAAGAAATATACATATGATATATTTTACACATATAGAACCAATTATTATAACTTGAAAAAGATATAACAATTTATTGCACAAATTAAAAATTCAAAATCGATGATGTTAAAAACATTAATACAGAGATTTTCAGGAAACATTTACAATCATTTTCCATTCACTACAAACTTCTTGCAAAAAAATTTCAATTTTAACTGGGCTTTTATACTCATAAATTGGTCTATTGATAAAAATAATAGATATTTATGTTATTCATGTATGCAATATAACGATATCAAATATTATACAATTAAAGAATTCTTAAAACATATAGAAAAATTACAAAAGGATAAGCGTCCTATATTCTGTATGAGACACTATGCAACAAAGATTAATAAATAAATTCTACCATTATATTAAAATCGATATAATGAGTTATTAATTTTCAAAAACATCTATCTTATGATTTTTTTCATGCCTATATTAATTTCCACTTGCGAAGTATTAATTTTCTATAAGAAATATAAAATTGATCGAATAACTTAAATAACAGAAGGCTTAATTTTCGAGAATACATGGAAAATATATGTACAGGGTCTCCAAAAAGTCCGGAAACGGTTGAATATCTTGAAAACGAAGCATTTTTGAGAAAAATGTTTCAGACAAGAATTGTAGGGTTTAATATGATGTATTTACTAATCTAATCAGTTTGACCTTGGGTGCCGTCGCCAAGGTCAAATCAAGGTCACGTAGAATTTTTTTAATGGAACCCCCTATTTTTTATTACATTTTCTTGCAGCTTACCTCGAGAGCTTTTCAAAACACTATAATAAAATATTTTTCCATTAAGTACTTTTCGAGTTATAAGGCTCGAAAGTTACAGTACCGCCGGCATTAGCATTACCCAAAGTACACCACGAGGTCGCACGGTCGGATTTATACCTCTTGTGTGCGTGCGTGCGTGCATACACGACACATCTTTGTTCATAAACAAAGCATTGCTGATTACTTTAGAACAAATAAGCAATGTAATGAATAATTTCTATGAACATTTAGCTCATTGTTAAACGGTAGAAGGGAGACACTTCGAACATTTAATTAATTGAAGAAATGGAATAATCCAATATCTAAAAAGTATGTCACTGTCACTCGCGCACGCGTATACGTACACACACACACACACAAGAGGTGTAAATCCGACCGTGCAACCTCCACGTGGTGTACTTTGGATAATGCTAATGCCGGTGGTACTGTAACTTTCAAGCCTTATAACTCGAAAAATACTTAATGGAAAAATATTTTATAACACTGTTTTGAGAAGCTCTCGAGGTAAGCTACAAGAAAATGTAATAAAAAATAGAGGGTTCCATTAAAAAAATTCTACGTGATCTTGATTTGACCTTGGCGACGATACCCAAGGTCAAACTGATTAGATCAGTAAATATATCATATTAAACCCTACAATTCTTGTCTGAAACATTTTTCTCAAAATAACTTTTTGGAGACCCTGTATATATTTTATATGATTCTTCGTTTGTTACTTTCGATCTGAAAATGTTCTAGCGTCTTTTGCGTTTTTATTAATATATGCGTTATTTTTGAAAACATTAATACATATATGTGATTTTTTTGTATTTGAGATGTGACTCTCATTAGCCGTTTTTTCTCCTTTTTAATAGAAATTATATATTTACCTTTTTAATAATAAAAGAAGTAAGACTGCATATAACCGAACAGAGAAGAACATAGCAGGTATCTAAAGTACATTCACATTTCTACGAACGTATTCTCTTCGTGACGCGTAATTCTCTTTCCCCAACTGGTATTTTAAATTCGCGACAAACAATTATTGATCGGAAATGAAACCCTTTTGTAGTAGTTATAATATTAGGCTTATTCATCAATCGTTTTCGAAGGTGTGCACAATGTGTTCTATTTCACATTCATTTATGGCACAAAGAACTGTCCATTCGTGACGCGCATTGCGTGTTATGAAATAATCATACTAATTATGTAGACTGGTAGTGGAAGCTTTTCATGGTGATACAGATCGATTCTTTGTTATTCACTAAATACAAAGGAAAATAGAACGATGTTTGTGTCACAAAATAGAGAGTATCGAATATGTGACAGAAAGTGTTGGATTAAATAAATATATCGATTACAGTTTGTGATCAGATATACTGAATAATGATTGTTTTTTCTTACAGTACTGCAACAGAATATATTGTAAATACCGATGAAAACATGCTGTCAAGCTGGATCTTGGATGCTTCCAATATAATTTCGTGTGAATTTATATTACGTACGTAGATCTTTAAAAGCGAGCCAACATTTTTTTTCAGACTTACAACACAAACTCTAATAAACTACTGCAGTACTATCATGAGTTAAATTGACTAACAATCTAACAATTCTGATGGTCATAACATCTTGGATCTTAATAATGTCGACTGACATATTAAAATTTATCACTGACTTATTAAAAGTCTATAAATAATTAATTTATCAAACAAAATACACTTAAAGAGCTAAAAACCAGTTAAGTAACAAAGAGTTTTAATATTCAACACATAAAAATAAAAATAAAAATAATTACATACAGTACAAATGTTTCGTGTCTTGTGTTATAATATAGCGAGTCAATAAATTAAAATAATCAAATTAGTCGTTGAAAAATTCTCGACAGTAGGACAGTAATAATTTAAAAAGTGACCGTTAACAAAAGAAAATTGATACCTAATTGTAAGTACATAAATCTGACAATATATATAAATATAATAATGTACCTTATCTTACATAAATGTTGAGAATCAATTAATAAAAAGAAACAGTTAATAAAAAGATGTTATATAATTAATTTATATTGCGAAAAATATTACCTCGGTCGAGAGTCAAACACTGACATTCCATACCTCGGTAGTCTAAAGACGGAGAGAGTGCCAGAGTCCGGGTTCCACTCCCGGCCGAGATAATATTTTTCATAATATAAATTAATTATTTACAAATTTTTAATATGTCATTTACAGATTATAATGTCATTCAACATTTAAAACCAAGATGCTATGAGCATAAAAATTGTTAGATTGTTAGTCAATTTAACTCTTGATAGTACTGCGGTAGTTCACTAGAATTGCGTTATAAGTCTGAAAAAAAAACTTCGGCGCACATTTAAGAATCTACATACGTAGTATATGTTTAATAAATTCATACGAAATTATATTAGAAGCATCCAAGATCCAACTTGACCGTTATGGCATGTTTTCATTAGTATTAGTTAAAAACTCTCACGGGGTCTAATAAGATTTGATAGAATATATTGTCGTCTAAGCTAAGTGTGAAAAACGTATATTAGGAAACTTTTAATTTTACCATTATATATGTATCGGTTCAGCCGTTACTGAGATATGATCATCTCAATCCTCCGAATTTCTCAGATTCGCGCCTGGCTTAGCGCCGAGACACTACCGTGTCTCCAGATGTAATATATTTTAGAACATTTCGTTATATATTTCAATATTATAATGTACATGTAAAGTATTAAATGTAAAACATTTAGAAAATATGCCTAAAATTATGAATAATATTGGCAATTTAATGCATCGATGTAAATGGAATATATGAAGTGATAACTTCATACTAATATCGCTCAACGTCTCCCTAAAAAAACAATTCTGATTTGCATGAATTGTTTTTTAAGTTCAATAATGAAATTTTCTGTGTCCACATAATTTTTATTTTTGTACTCATTATTCATGTAATCAAGAAAACCCAAACCTAAGGTCGAAACGTATGTGTTATCATTTGTTTGTATTAATTATATAGAATGAAATAGTACATAGTGCAACAGTGGGGGACAGTTGTTTATAGCACGGGACGGGCGAGCCCACGAGCGAAATGAAAAAAAAGTTTTTTTCATCACGCGCGCACGTAATGTGCCCTACTACCATATACCGTGACGTTTTGCGTGCGGGAAATAGCCAATACCTCAAGCCGTTGAGTTATCTCTAATCCCACTCTTCTGCGTAAAAACGTTACTGTATAGGGCACATTACGAGCACTTGTAATGAAAAATTTTATGTGTAGCGAGTGGGAGTATATTTGTTCATAGCGCCGGACTCGCTTCGCTCGTGCGCTCGCCCGTCCCGCGCTATAAACAACTATCCCCCACTGTTACACAATGTACTATATACACACTAATATCCCGTGTTGGTTCAAAAAAGATAACTACAATTCAGTAATTTATTCTTCAGTATTTAAATTGTCTCACATTAATTTATTTATAATTATATTATTGGCGCAGTACAATATAATATTTTTTAAAATTATATTATGATAACATAATGTAAGGCAACCGGGTTAGTCACTTGCTCGTATCACGCGGCTAACTTGCCGATAGCAAACTGATTTTAGTTTATTCCCCGCCGTGAGAGGGAAGCGATGCGTTTCCGAGAGCGCACATTCTTCTTCTTCCGTTTTGACGACAGTTCTAAATGTTCTCGTGAGCCGGACTGACCGACAGACTGAACACGCCAGTTTATGTTATCCTGACGATTTCTTAATAAAGTGTTTTATACAGTCACTAGTACACGCCTTTTATGCACAACCATCTGACTCTCTCATCCTACAATAATTATATTAATATATTAGAAAAACAAATCTATTATCACAAAATTAAAATTAAAAGAATAGAATTAAAACTAAAATTAAATTAAATTAAATATGTATGCATGAATATTAAATTTTTAATATTCATGCATACATATTTTAAATCAAAGTTTTTTTTCCGTAAATATCAATTACGATCCAAATATGATTTCAATTATTTTCTTTTTAATCAATGATAAATGATATATAAGATCTAAATATGTAAATAAAAGAACATTTTAATAAAAATTTTTTTAATTATGTGATGTACCGTATAAGAGTTTTACAAAAAAAAATATGAAAAAATTCGAAAGGAAAGCTTTAACTTGTATTTTTACAGCAAAGCGGTCTGTCTGAAGTACAAAATCTATAGTACTTAACTTCATCAATATTAATGAAGAAAAGTTTGAAGTTTTTATATATACAATATTTAAACTCCACGGCCGTACATATCAATTGTATGTATCAATCATACCCAATTAAGTCCCAAACGCGCTTTAGATGTAATTAAAATTTTTGCTCCGGACTGAAATATCCGTAGCAGTAGTCGAAAATTAATAATGTTAATCAGTTTGTAATTAAATTTAAATTCACAATATAATATAAATAAAAGTTAACGAATATAATTAACTATACTATGTGAAAGAATAGTAATGGTGTTATTGATGCCATAAAATTATTCAAAAATTAAAGGAGCAGTACAGACAAAAAGTCGTACTGACATCTCCATCTATTTGTAATATTTCCTTTATTTCACGGTATTAAGTAGGCATATCTTGAATATAATTCTTTAAATAAACAATAAATTCCGATTATTGAAACTTTTATCATCATTTTTAAATAATAAAAATCAATTAATTTAGTCTGTTGATCAGGACGCGAAAAACTTAATTAAAATATATATATTTCGAATCAAAATATTTGTTAAGTTGAAGCACTTTCAATGACACGAATCTTTCCTGTTCATGGCACCTCCACTCATACGCGAAATTTACTCAGACTTCAAGCAATAGAAACTTTTAATGAGAAAATATATCGATTGAATATATGCTCCTCTCACAATCAGAATAAGGGTGCTTCAATATGGAATGATATTTTCCACGTAATGCACATCGCATAACCAATCAGATACGTTCCACACTTTCTGTTTCTCGGAATTGAATGTTCTCATTGGTTTTGTACAATTACGAAGAAAATGCTAATCCATATGAAAGTCGTTTATAATGCTAGACCGATCACCAAACTCTTCTGAAGATTAGCGCAGGCGCTTCGTTATATTCCGGTACGATGAGTAGTCTATCCGTGGCAGTATACAGAGTGTTTTCGTGCAGCGATCATGTCAAATTCAGAACGTGCAACAGAAAGCGACATACCGAAAAAGAATACCGATTACAATTTACAAATTAATCGATGGTTTCTAAAAGCAATCGGTGCTTGGCCACAAATAGATGAATCGAGCTTAGTGTGGAAAATTTTGATATTACTACAAATTTTTATTTGTTCGAGCATAGTAGCATCCAACATGATACCGTGTTTATTGTATGTGTTATTTGAGAAAAAGAATATCAAACTAAAACTGCGTGCTTTTGTGCCATTGCTTCATAGAATTATGGGCTCGATAGATTATTGGGTACTACTTAAGCGTAATGGTGAAATTCACAAATTAATACGACATATAGAGGAAGATTGGTGTCTCATACAGGAACTCAATGATCGTAAAATAATGCTACAACATGCCAAATTTGGTCGTTTCGTTGCTATAATTTGTGGGATAATGATGCAGAGTGGTTGTATACTGTACAGCTTAGGACAATTGATGCAAACTATTACCATCACCATCGGTAACGAAACTTTTACATCGCGTCCGACGGCATGCCCGACTTACAGTAAAATTATCGATACGAGATTTAGTCCTGTAAATGAAATCGCGTTGATTCTGCAAAACCTAACAATGGTAATAATGACTACCTCTACTGTCGGTGCTTGTAGTCTGGCTGCTGTCTTCGCGATACATGCTTGTGGTCAGTTGAATGTGTTGTACGCGTGGCTAAATGAACTAGTTGAAAACCAGACGAAGAGAAATGATAAAGCTGAACGGAAACTGGCTGCTATCGTAGAACATCATCTGAGAATATTGAGGTATTTTACACGACATTCGTTAAAAAATTCATCTCTAGTGCCTTATAATTTCAAACAATCATTTAATTAAAATAAATAATTATTTAAAATATTTGCGTTAAGATTAGAATAAATTCATCTTCAATGGTAAAATTAATGTCAAATGACTTAAATTCACTTTTCTTCTTTATAGATTATTAAAATCTGTTGTTAAATATATATTTGAAAAATATAAATTCAGAGTGTGTCGATACCTTATTTATTAAAATAATTTTAGAATAATAATGTTTAGAATATATTATATACGTACGTTTCAGTTTTATATCGGAAGTGGAAAGTATTATGAATAAAATTTCTCTTGCGGAATTAATTGGATGCACGATGGTCATGTGCTTTCTTGGATATTATGTTATTATGGTACGCTAGAGATGTAAGAAAATCTTATTAAACACATCAAAATATGATTTATTCACGAGAAGGTAATCGAAATTCTTTACAAAATGTGTATAAAAACGATAAATCATACGATAAAGATTAATCCATATTTTAATTCTTATACGGTAAAAAACATTCTGTATTTGTGTTAAAACTAGTCATTCTTAAAGCTATTGTGGTAAATGATTAATTTTTATATTAATTTAACATAATGTGATTGTATTGTTTGGATATTTTTTGCTGTTCAATACATATTACTATTAAAGAAACACAATTTACAAGTAGGAAAACATTTAACGTAAAAATAAAATAATGTGTTTCAGAACGTAAGCTTTAAGATAAGTGAATAAAAAGTACATCAAATATACTTTCACGATTTTTCCAATTGTGTCTAAATATCTCATTTTTAATGTTAAATTATTACGTAACATTTGCATTACTTTGTAACATATTCCAGCTCTTGTACTAAAATTATATAAAATTATATAAAATCTCGAGTGAATCATTAGACACGTAAAATGTATATTAGTAAAAAGATGAACAAGACCCTTTTTTTTTTAGACCATTAAACCTCTCAAATGTTAAAAATAATTAAATGAAAAAAGATTCAACCTATAAAAGCTAATTTAATTATTAATCTACATATATTATAGCTCTTTTTGTGATTATGTGTGAATTAATATAATATTAAAATTTATCATACCGCTTTGCCATTAACGTCAGTTTAGACTGTCATTTGTTTTTAAAATGAAGATGAGTACAAATCATAATGAATTTTTTAATTACTTTTAACATATAGATAGATACATCAAAAAGATACAGAAATAATTGTACGATATTTGTCTAAAATGACATTAAAATAATAGCAGAGCAGTAAAATGAACAAAAATATTTTATTCGTTCAATTTTTTTTACGAAAAAGATTCAGTATATTATAATGTGATGTGTCTAGATAAATAATTAATAATTAATAAATAATTAATTTATGAGAATCACAAATTTTTGTTTATATAATTATTTTTGACATTTCTAATGACTATATAATGCAAAAAAATTGTTTACGGTAAATAAAAGGCGGGGCCAAAAAACTTATTGGTCTTCCTCTTTCAAGAAAATTTTTTTAACTGCGTAGGAATGGGAAACACTTGATACAGTGAAAATAACAGGTTACCTTTTTGTATATTTATCAATGGGTTTCAATATTTTTATATTCTGCTACATCGGAGGAATTGTCACAGAACAGGTAATACGTCGAGATATAAAACCTACCGAAACAAAAACAAACCACATCTTAATATTTTCTTAGCAATGCAGTAAATAGTTTAAGAAAAGAATAAAATATCACACTATACATTAACAAAAAAATTTTTATTAAATTGTAATTTTTATAATAAAATTCTACTATTTCTAATAAATTTAAATACTTCTGTTTTCTTTAATATTACGGTAATTCAAATTATCGAATTCTTACTGATAGAAAATTTTATTTCAAATTAGTGCAAACTTGTCGGTGAAATGGCATACATGACTGATTGGTATAATCTACATCATACAACTGCACGTGGTCTTATTCTGATTATTGCCCGATCGAATAACGTAATTAAGATCACAGCAGGAAAGATATTCCATTTATCCATTGCAACCTTTGGTGATGTAAGTAGAACAAGTATATCGTTTCTTTTTCTAATTAATAAATTGTATCTTCCATGTACTTTATTAATTTTAAATTATGATCGTCTTATAATAATTGCACTTTAAAATACCCATTACTTTTAAAACATCTATATATTAAATTATACATGAGTGTGTTTGGTTTAAAATATAAAATTTTAAAAAATCTATAAATATCTATAAATATAGAATTAACATAGGTATAAACATTTTTGCTTTTTAGAAGCAAGTATATTGTTGTTTTAGGTAATTAAAAGTTCTATGGTATACTTAAATATTTTGCGAACAATGACTGTGTAAACGATGATTATGTGAAATATAAGTTAGAAAATATACGAACTGTAAATATAACATTTTATTTACACCTAATTAGTATACTCTGAAAATAAAATTTATTCACATATTGCACGAATTGCACAAAAAAATAGAGATTACCGTACTAAAAATTATTAGTATAGAGATTTGCAGGCATCATTTATTATTAATTTTCTTCGTAAGCATAAATTATTTTGTAATTGGGTTTGAGCATATAACGCCCACCAAATTCAATTTTGGCTTGGATTATACTTTTAGGCTCAATTAGGCGACCTATTAGTTGCGATTAAATTTAGAATAGAATCTACATCTAATTTTGCATATTGTGTAAGATAGAAAACTTTTAAAGAAATAAAATACGCATATATAGAAAATATGTATTAGATATATATATATTTTTTCTATATATATCTATTTTACTTTTTCAAATATTTTTTATGAACTCAATAAAATTATACAAAATCCTGCTTCAAACTTAATTATGAATTATAGATCCTGTAAAGTGAGATTTATAACACAATATTAAAACAAAATAACTGTTGTTCATGTTCTTAGAAAGAAACATAACGACATCAAGTATATTATATATAGTTACGCGGCAATTATGCGATTATGTGTAAAACGTAAAAAAATTCTAAATATAATATACTTGTCTAATATAATATTATACTATATAGGACACTATGCGCGCAACAAACATAAATTGATAAATGAAATCAATAATTATACGTCGAAATCAACGTTATGAGTAAGTAATATACTTTCAAAGATATACACTACTAATTTATAATTTTCTAATGTGTGCCACTACTCAAATCAAATTTCTAAATCATCCTGTAATATAAAATACCTACAGAATCTGTAATAATAAACGTCCACAATTAAGCGATCAATAAAAGCTCGAAGTTTTTTTACGTACAATTTAGAAACGTCGTAATACAACCGTATATAAATGCCAATCTACTACATTTTTGCTTGAATCAAAAGATTCATAGTTGTACATAATCGAAGGTTAATAAGTTAATTACTTTACGATTACGTTTACATTCACTATATATATATATATATATATATACATACATATATATATTAAACACTTTCATATCACGGAAAGAATTATATCTTAAAATTTACCATGAAAATATGGTAATCGGGACAATATTATATTTCGAAGAATTTTTATGTACATCTCTCACATTTATTAATAAAACTACAATAAAATATAAAATAAGTATGATTCATTTTACTGAAGTGCATGGTAAAAATCTTTAAATTTATTGTATTGTACCATAATTACTATATTTTCAAGGTAAATTTTAAGAAATGCTTCTCTCCGTGATAGGCACTTCCACGAATCTTTCCTCACAATATTCATGACACGCGATATTCACTCGAACTTCAGGCAATAGAAACTTTCAACGAGCAAATACATCGATTGAATATACGCCTCCATATCGGAGTAAGGGTACTTCTATATGAATTGATACTTTCCGCTCAACCAATCAGAGACGTTCTATATTACGAAACTGAATGTTTTTATTGGTTACACGATACACGTTGTGAAGAAAATATCATAGTCTATATAGAAGCCCTTTATAATGTTAGACCGATTATCAAACTGTTCTGAAGATTGGCGCAGGCGCTTCTTCATATTCCGGTACTATGAGGTGTCCATCCATGGCAGTATACTGTGTGCTTTCGTGCAGTGATCATGTCAAATTCCAAATATGCATCAGAAAAGGAAAAACCGGAAAAACACATTGATTATAGTTTACAATTTAATCGATGGTTTCTTAAACCAATCGGTGCATGGCCAAAAATAAATACATCGAGTTCAATGTACAAAATCATGATATTACTACAGATTTTCATTTGTTCAAGCATAATAGCAGTACCAACGATACCGTGTGTATTATATGTGCTATTTGAAGCAGAAAATATCCAGCAAAAACTGAATACCATGATGCCACTGATCAACAGATTTATGAGCTCAATGCATTACTGGGTGTTGCTCAAACGTAGGGATGACATTAAAAAATTAATACTACATATGGAGACAGATTGGAATCTCGTGCAAAAAATCGACGAACGTGAAGTGATGCTACAACATGCCAAGTTCGGCCGTTTCATTACCATAATCTGTGGGATAATGCTGCAGGGCGGTTGCTTATTGTTCGCCTTAAGGCAATCGATGAAAACTGCTATCATCATCATTGGTAACGAGACTTTTACAACACATCTGACAACGTGTCCGATTTACAGCAAAATCATCGACACGAGATTTACTCCTCTGAATGAAATCGCGTTGGTTCTGCAAAACATGGTAATATTAGTTATAAGTTTTTGTACTGCCGGTGGTTGCAGTCTGGCTGCTGTTTTCGCGATACATGCTTGTGGTCAGTTGAACGTACTGTACACGTGGCTACATAAATTAGTTGAAAGCCAAACAAAGGGAAATGATGCAGCTGAACAAAAACTGGCTGCTATCGTGGAACATCATCTTAGAATATTGAGGTATTTCACAAGCAGGCACTTGGTAAAAAAAAAATACATTTTCTAATATTCTATAAAAAAACTTCTAAATTACCACTTAAATTAATAATTAATAATTTAAAGACAAATATATGTGTTTAAATTAGGTGTTGCTCATACGTAGCAATAAATTAATTTTCTTTTTCATGTGGATTGCTAGAAAGAAATTCATTGTGTGTGTTCATGAAAGTATAAGTTCAATGAACCGATGGCTTATGTATAGAAAAATTTTACTGCGTTATATACATTTATATATTTCAGTTTTATATCACAAGTGGAAAGTATTATGCATAAAGCCGCTCTCGTGGAATTAACGGGATGCACGATAATCATGTCTTTGCTTGGATATTATACTATTATGGTACGCTATAGAAATATAAGAGAAAAAATCTTATTAGATATATCAAAATAAGATTTATTCACAAAAAAGCAAACACCACAATTTAACTATAAAACGTGTATTAAAAATATTAATTTTTATAATAAAGACGCGTTCATCTCATTTTTAATTTTACATAGTAAAAAGACATTTTGGATTTTTGTGTTAAAAAATCGGTCGTTGACAAGGTATTGTGCAGAATTTTTAACACACACACACACATATATATATATATATATATACTTATGTATTAATTTATCATGATATCATTATATTGTCTGAATATTTTTATTTACTTGATATATTTACTAATATTAAAGAAACAACATTCATAATATTATTCATTCATTACGTATAATAAAAAAATAGGTTTTAAAAAGTAAATTGTAAGAAAAATGAGTAAAATTTACTATTAATTTAACACACACACACAAACGTGAAATGTCAAGAAATGTACTTTTACTATTTCGTTTAAAATTGTATTGATGTGTTTTTAATTTTGTAAATAACATTTGTAATACATATAATACTTTCTCACATACTTTACATGAACACAAATTTGAATGGATCGATTCAGCACCTGAAGTACATTGCATTTAAAACAAATTTTCTGATTGCGTAGGCTTGGGAAACACTTGATACGGCAAAAATAACATCTTCTCTTATTGTATATTTATCGATGGGTTTCAATATATTTATATTTTGCTACATTGGAGAGATTATCACAGAACAGGTTAAGAATTAAAAGATATTGAAACTAATACCTCGATTCTGTAACACTTAATGACAGTTCGGTATCATTACGTTAACGTTGTGCAGATTTTTTTAAATTACCTGTGCGCGCGCAACAATAATAATACAAATCTGTTAGAAGTTATAAAATCGAGGTACTTATAATGTCAGATTTTAATAATTTAGCCAATGACTGCGTTCAATACACAATGTTTCATTTGTAAGTGTTAGAAGTTTTTTTTTTTTATTAAAATGAAACTATTCCTCTAGATCCAAAAGTATTATATAATTCCATCAGCGCGCGTTGTAAAAAATTACAAAATAAATGAAACACGTGGCTATTGGTTCTTGCATTTAATTTTTCTATAGATCTATGATATTAGAAATGTATTCTAATAAAAAAAGTTATTAAGCATGTTATAATAAATCACTAAGCACTTACTGAGCTATTTTGCCTGCTCAACGCAGATTATATTTTTAGAAGGAAGTGAAGTATAATATTGTTATATTAATAGAAAAAAATTCTAAAATATAATTACTTAACTTTGAATGAAAAAGAGAACATCTACTTATATTAACATTTATTTTTAACATTTTATTAATCCAATTATTTAATGTTTTTAAAAAACATTTAACTCTTATGTCAATTTATTAGTGCAAACTTGTCGGAGAAATGACATACATGACTGATTGGTATAATCTACATCATAAAACTGCACGTAGTCTTATTTTGATTATCGCTCGATCGAATGACGTAATTAAAATCACAGCGGGAAAATTATTCCGTTTGTCTATCGCAACATTTGGTAATGTAAGTAATACATATTTCCCTTATTTCATTAAATAATAAATTTTCCATATACTTTATTAATTGAATTATGATCATCTTTATAAAATTGGATTATTGAATTGAATCATCTATTATGCTTATATACTCGTATTTGATTATACAAGAGAGAGTATATACGATTAAAAATTTCAAATTTTAATCTAGTTTGTAGAATAGTATATATTGTTTTGCATTGTGTACAAACAAGCAAACCTGTTGTTTCAGGTAATTAAAACTTCTGTGGTATATTTAAATTTTTTACGAACAATGACTACGTAAAATATGGTTAGTGAAACCTAAGTTAAGAAATATGCATAATATATATTTTGTAGAATAAATAAATACTTCTTAAAAACAAGTTTTAGTAAATAAAATCAATGATTATGTAAAAAAATCTGAGATAATCAGTTATTATAAATTATTTTCAAATATATATATCTACACATATTTAAAAATTTTTTATGTTTGTATTATACTTTCAATATAAAAGGTAAAAATTTTAATTTTTCTCGAAATTTTATGTATACCTTTTTTAACAGAATGAGAAATACAATTGCACATAATTGAATGAAAAAGAACATAGTAACAGGTAAATGAAGCGTGTTTATTTCTACGAACTTTTTCTCTTCGTGACACGCGATATTCTCTTCCTAAAAGTAGTACTATTGCGAAAAGCAATTATTGATTGAACATATTATCCTTCCGAAGCAGATGTGTAATATCACGTTATTTATATATCCAATATTTTCGAAGGTTTGCTCAGGCTCTATTTCATATTCGACTTTGGTATAATGAATTCATAACAGCATATTGCGTGTTTTCATAAAATGATCATACTGAACACAAGCTGTTAGTGGGTGCTTCTCATTTAATGATAAATCGATACAAGCATCGTTCTATTTTTGTTACTCACGAAATCTAAAGAAAAATAGAATGACGTTTGCGTCAACTAGTCTTTATACAATAACACTCTGCACTAGTGCCAAACACAATTGTCGATTTGTGTTATTAAATGAAAAGCACCCAACGTATAGCAGGAAAAGTTGGATTAAATAAATATAACGATTGCAGTTTGCAATTGGATATATTGATTGTTTTTGTTATATTATTACCACTGAGAATATTGTCATCTAAACGCAAGACAGAAACGTAGTGGTAAAAATTTAAAAGTTAAGTCGAAAATTGTAAGCAAGAAGTTTTACAGAAAAATGCGAAAAAAATTATTGCGGAAAAAGTTTTATTCTAAAACTCGTATTTTTACAGCGTCTTGTTTGAAGTACACAGTTTGCAGTACTGAACATTTATAATGTGGATGAATAGAAGTTCGAAGAGAATTTTTTTACGTACAATCTGGAACCTAACAGCCGCACTAACAATAAGTAAGTACCACCATACATAAGTGTCGTGTTTAGATATTTGATTGAAATTTTTGTTCGAATCAAAAAGATTCAAAGCAGTATAAGTGAAAGGTTAATAATGTTTATGATTTTATAATTATATTCACATTCACGACATAATAAACACATTAAACCAAGAGTTAATAAATGAAATTAATTATAATGTTATATATAGAACGCCATAAAGTAATTAGTTTCAAATTATTAAAAAATTTAAGCAATATATTTTTCTAGTTTCCATGTACATATATACGTTAATAATATTTTCTATATTTTATTATGTTTTAACCTTCATTACTATTTATAAAAAATAAAACTTTCCTCATTTATTATGTTAATTAAAATGCGAAAAAAATTGATATAATAACAAAAATTATCGAATGAAAAAATCAGTTAAATTACACTTTCAACAGCACTTCCACAATCAATGTTTATGACACGCGATATTCACTCAAACTTCGAATACTAGAAACTCTCAACGAGCAAATATATCGATTGAATATACGTCCCTCAGAGGAGGGCGTTAAGAGTGCTTTGTATATATGGATTGATATTTTCCAAGTAATGAGTATCATGTAACCAATCAGAGACATTCCGCATTTTCAGTCTCACGAAACTGAATGCCCCATTGGTTACATGACATGTCTCACGAAGAAAATATTAGTTTATGTGAAAAACCTTTTACAATGTTAGACTGATCACGAAACTCTTCTGAAAATTGACGCAGGCGCTTTTTCATATTCCGTACGATGAGTTGTCCATCAGTGGCAGTACACTGTGTGCTTTCGTGCAGTGATCATGTCAAATTCCAAATATGAACCAGAAAGCGAGAGTTCGGAAAAAAATATCAATTACAGTTTGCAATTTAATCGATGGATTCTCAGATCAATCGGTGCGTGGCCACAAACAAATGCATCGAGTTCATTGTGCAAAATCATGATATTACTACAAATTTTCATTTGTTCAAGCATAATAGCAGTCACAACGATACCGTGTTTATTGTATGTATTATTTGAGGCACAGAATATTCGGCAAAAACTGAATGCCATGGGACCAGTGATCAACAGATTTGTGAGCTCGGTACATTACTGGGTGCTGCTCAAACGTAGCGATGATTTTCACAAATTAATACAACATATGGAGGTAGACTGGAATCTTGTGCAAAAGATCGACGAACGAGAAGTGATGTTACAATATGCCAAATTCAGCCGTTTCGTTACCATAATCTGTGGGATAATGATGCAGAGCGGTTGCTTATTTGTCAGCTTTGGACAATCGATGAAAACTACAACTATTATCATCGGCAACGAGACTTTTACAACACATCCGATGACGTGTCCATTTTACAGTAAAATTATTGACACGAGATTTACTCCTGTGAACGAAATCGCGATAGTTTTCCAAAACCTGGTACTACTAGTAATAAGTTTCTGTAATACCGGTGGTTGCAGTTTAGCTGCTGCCTTTGCGATACATGCTTGTGGTCAATTAAATGTGCTATATTCATGGCTACATGAATTAGTTGAAAACAAAACGAAGGAGAGTGATAAAGTTGAAAGAAAACTAGCTGCTGTTGTACAACGTCATCTAAGAATTTTAAGGTATTTTATAGGCGGACACTCAATCAAAGAAATACACATTCTTTAATATATCATAAAAAATTCTAAATTGTCATTTTAATTAATTACGTAATCATTAAAAGAAAACAGATATTCGCGTTTAAATTAGGATAAATTAATTTTTTGTTTCTTATGCATTAATAAAGGAGAATTGTGTCAATTGTATTCATGAAAAGTATAAATACAACATAACAAGAATTTATTTATAACAAAAATTTAATGTATTATTTATATACATTTACACTTTTCAGTTTTATATCAGAAGTGGAAAGTATTATGCATAAAGTTGCTCTTGTGGAATTAGTGGGAAGTACGGTAGTCATATGTTTGCTTGGATATTACATTATTATGGTGGGCTAGCAACTATAAAAATAAAAACTTAGACATATGCCATTTACTCATAAAAACCAACAAATATTGTTATATTTTATTATAAAATATACTCAAAAAATTCCAAATTTTGTACACGATAAAAATGAGCTCATATTTTAATTTTTAGGCTTGGGAAACGTTGGATACAGCAAAAATAATATCTTATGCCTTATTGTATTTATCGTTGTGTTTTAATATCTTTATATTTTGCTACATTGGAGAGATCATCACAGAACAGGTTACGAATTAAACATACTAAAATCAGTACTCTTACGCTTCTTTCAGCAACTCGGATTAACATTAATTGATGGTTAAGTCAATCATTGTTATAATGATTGACTTATGCCCGTTTTGACCAATGTAGATTAATTTTAATCTCGATTTAACTTAATGTTCGTCTTTTTCTAATTCTTAGAACTAGAAAAAAACGAAGAGTTAATTGGACCAAGATTAAACTTAATCTACATTGATAGAAATGGGTATTGATCAATCAATTCAGTATCGTTATGTTGTCGTTGCATAGTTTTTTGTACCATGTTATCCTCACAACAACATAACAATACCAATCTGTTGTTAAAAGTTATAGAATCAGCGTATGGAACAAGTTTGATTTTAACATTCTTTGATAATTCATTGATCACGTTCAACATACGATGGTTTAATTGTAAGTGTTAAAAGTTTCCTTCGTTGAACTAAAAATATAATCCAATACGTATGTACAAAAAAACCATCAAATTGCAAAATAAATGTGCAATTATTGGTTACTGCATCCAATTTTTCAATAGACATTATTAGAAACATATCATAATAAAGAATCACTGTGCGCTTACTTAGCTGTTTTTTTTTTCTATTTAATGTAATCAATATTTTTGGAAAGAATATAATATAGATAATACTGTCAGATTAACAGAAATAAATCTTAAATTATAATTACATTACTCTCTTTCAACAAAACTGAATATTTTTAACATTTTATTAATCCAATTGTTAAATACTTTCATAAAAAAATTTAATTTTTGTGTCAATTTGTTAGTGCAAACTTGTCGGCGAAATGGCGTACATGACTGATTGGTACAATCTACATCACAAAACTGCACGTGGTCTCATTCTGATTATCGCTCGATCGAATGATGTAATTAAATTTACAGCAGGAAAATTATTCCATTTATCTATCACAACTTTTGGTGATGTAAGTTATATGAATATACCTTTCCTTTGTCTCATTAAATAGTAAATTAATTTTCTATATACTTTATTAATTACGAATTATAATCGTTTCATAAGAAGTAAATTTGGAACTGAATTATGCATTATGATTAAAACGTCCATACACTTAATTACACGAGTGTGCATGATTCGAAGTTTCAAATTTTAATGCATCTTACATAACAATATATACTGCTTTGCATTGTGTAAAAACAAACGTGTTTATTTCAGGTAATTAAAACTTCTATGGTATATTTAAATTTCTTGCGAACAATGACTATGTGAAACATGGTTAGTGAAACATAAAAAAATATGCATAATATATATTTTGTAGAATAAATAAATATATCTTGAAAATAGTAAAATATAATCAATGTTTATGTAAAATCTAAGATTGTCAGTTATTAAATTATTTTCAAATATATAATGTATGTATCACATAATTTTCTATACTTTTTATTTATAATGAATAATAATAAGGCTCTGTAAGTATTAAAAAAAATAAAACAATTGAAAGGCTAAGAGCTAGTTGTGTAATAAAGAATGTAATAAAGAACATAAGTTTTAAATCAAACGTTCTTTATTACTAGACATCGGATTCTTATGCAATTTCATATTTTTTTAGAAAGCAAATTTGCGGAATTTATTCAAAAAATCCGTAGCTATCAAAGATTAATAATTTTAGAAAGATTAATAGTACATTAATAATATTTTATGATTACATTCATATTTAAACTTAATGTATACTTTGTACAACATTGTAACTTTTTTATCACCATTTATAAATAATAAAATTCTACTAATTTATATATATATATATAAAATACATATTAACCATACAGAATATCTGCGTAACAACAACGGAATGATACTTATCTGCCGTTAAAAGTTATAAAACCGAGATCTTGGAAATGTCAAATTTTGACATTTTTTTGATAAATCAATCAATAACTGCGTTTACAACATAATCTTTTATTTGCAAGTGTGTTAGAAATTTTCTTCACTGAAGCAAAGCCATTTCTTTAGATCTAAAAGTATAATCTAATAAGCGCACATCGAAAGAAAACTGTCAAATTGCAGAATAAATGAACGCAGCTATTAGTTACTGCTTTCAATTTTTCAATAGATCTATATTATTAGAAACGTATCATAACATAGAATCGTATTAAGTATATAATAATAATAATGATTCACTAAGCAACTTTGCCTGCACAACATATAGTCAAATTTTTAGAAAAAAATGGAATATAATACATTTATATATTAATAGAAAAAATCCTAATATAATCACCTTATTTTTAACGAAATTATAAATTTAATTTTAATTTTTTATTAATTCAAATGCTTGAAAATTCTTTTCATATAAAATTTAACTCTCATGTCAATTTGTTAGTGCAAATTTATCGAGAAAATGGCATATATAATTAACTGGTATAGTCTACAATCTACATCATAAAACTGCTCTCATTTTGATTATCGCCCGATCGAATAACGAAATTAAGATCACAACAAGAAAATTATTCTTATCTATTACAACTTTTGATAATGTAAGTATTGCAAATATACATTTTTTGTTTCATTAAACAGTAAACTAATTTTTCTTATACTTCATTAGTTGCAAATTATAATTGTTTTATAAGAATAGAAATGTTGATATAAATTATCAATTTATGATCAAAACATCCACACACACACACACACACACACACACACACACACACACACA